ACCGAGTAAGCCACCCAGGCGCCCCACTCTCTCTTTTTTTCAAAGTTTATTTATTTGAGAGAGAGAGCGTGGGTGTGCACACGCATGCACCTGTGCGTGCACGTGGGGGAGGGGCAGAGAGAGAGAGAGAGAGAGGGAGAAACAGAATCCCGAGCAGGCTCTGCGCTGTCAGCACAGAGTCCGACATGGGGCTTGAACCCATGAACTGTGAGATCATGACCCGAGCCGAAGTCGACGCTTCACCGACTGAGCCCCCGGCGCCTGCAGAAGCGTCTCTGCTGGCCCTTCCCCGTCATTACCCTACCCCTGTGTAGTTCTGCTGTTTAAACTTCAAATAAATGAATGGTATCACAGTTATTGCTCTTTAGTCCTTGGCTTCTTTTAGTCAATACAATATTTGAAAGATCCACCCTGTCATCGCCTAGGGCGAGCATTTGTTCTTTTTCGTTGCTGCGTAACATTCCACTGCAAGAGAAATCACAAACTGTTTGCATTCATCCACTAGACATCTGGGTTGTTTCCAGTTCTAGGCTGTCAGGAGTAAAGCTGCTCTCCGAGTTTTGTGAGTGTCTTCTGGTGGACATGAGCACTTTGTTTCCCTCGGGGGTATACGCCGAGAGAAGGAATTGGAGCGCCCTAGAGCTTACCTACGCCCAGCTGTACCAGTGCTGCCACGTTGTTTTCCAAAGTGATGGCATAAATTCACCCTCCCCCCCAAAGTGCATGACAGATCCGCGTAATTCACGACAGATCTTGGCGTTATTCTTTTCTAATTTTTCTGATGGGATCCTTCCTTTTTAACTTTGGAAAACAGTTATTTAAAGCTAGTAATAATTTTTAAATTTACCTAAAATGGGTGGTCCAGGGATGCTCGAAGTTTGAGAACGTTTTTGGACTCTTGCTGAGGATTCAGAAACTCCCTGAAGACGTGCGGGTGTGTTTCTGCCTGTGTGTGTGCCACAGTCTCAGACGGATGCTGCTCCGGACCCCGCCCTCCTCGCCTTGGAACAGACCTTAGACTTCCCCACGAACAGGAAGAGCTTAGTTGGGATCCCAGAGGGAGAGGTTTCCCATCACCAACAACATCTGGGGAACATCTGGCCAACCCAGCCCAGGGCAGGGAGACACTTAGCTGGAGAAAACACATCACTTATTGGATTACTTTTGGCCTCCTATATTTTCTCTTATATTTCTCCTACATTTCTCTCCTTCCTCTCCTGCCCCCCTGATCCCATCACCCATTGGGCTCCCTGCCCTGGTCTCTGGCCCTTCTGGTTTCCGCAGTACACAGCCCAGCAGGATGCAGGCCTGGCAGCCTGAGGGACCCCCATTAACTCCAGCGTTCAACCCCGGAGCATCTTCTAGAAAGTCAGCTCAAGGAATATTGAAGCTGGGCGGTTCTCTGCTCCAATGTCTCCATTTTACAAGTTGGAAGACTGAAGTTAAGGGGGGGGGGTGGGAAGGGAGGGAGAGAGAGAGAGAGAGAGAGAGAGAGAGAGAAAGAGAAAGAGGAAGAGGAAGAGGGAGAGAGCACTAGAACTCCACTCCACTGTAGGTCATAGAAACCCCCTTTTCTCCTGGGGACCCGACCAGAGGATTAGAGGCAGGGAGGGGGCGGTAGTGGGAGAAAGGATTCTTTGGAACGAGAATGGTCTGCAGCCGGCAGCCCCGGGGAGGGCAGGCCTGCGTGTCTGAGGGGTGGTGGTGGGTAGGCGGCCACCTGCCGTCATCCCCTAAGGGCTGAGTCACCTCTAGGTGACACCCAGCTCCACAGCCTCTACACTCCCTCCTGAGCCGCCTCGGCCACACCCATGGCTTCCTTATACGGCTGCCGACCCTTCCAGCTCCACATCCAGCACTTTCCTAGAGCCCCGTGCGCACATTTACTGGGTAAACTTAACTTATTCAACCGGTTCCTGCTGAGCACCCGAGAGTCAGACACCGCCCCGCCCTCCCTCTGCTCCCAGACACCCCACAGGGAAGCTGCACGACCGAGTGCAAGGTAAGTGCAGGCTCGAGAGGAGCATCTTTCCGAGTCCCAATCCGGATGAGGAGGGCACAGACCAAAAACTGACCACCGGCACGCAGGGCTGGAGTGACTGTCAAGAGTGTGGGCGGGAGTGCAGAGAGGAGGCCGGGAGAACCTTGTGAGACGCGGAACAGGGTGCCTCGTGTGCGACTTACAGCTACACGCGTCCGAATCAACATTGCATGTCCAGTGTGTGAAAAGGCGTGTACACAGAGAGGCTGACACGGAGGGCCGGGAAGGGGGTGGGGGCGGGAGGGAGAGAGGCAGGGCTGCAAAGGTGGGCAAGGCCCAGGCTATTTGGGCTTTGTAGGCCCCGCAGAGGTGAGGCTTCATCTTGAGGCCACCGGGGAGCCACCGGAAGCGTGGCCTCAGCTGTCCAGACACCAAGGCTCAGGCCCCCGGGAGCACACACTCCCTGCATACAGGAAGGGCAAGGGCTGCACCTTCCTCCAACCTGCTTTCCTCCTATTTTTCTTGCCTGGAAAGGTCAAGGGCAGGCGGACTCCTCTGGCCGGCTCTCCATAGGCACCTGTGGCTCCAGCGGGACCCTCACCATCTCCACCCCAGAGCCATCCAGGCAGGGGAGGTCACTCCCACCCCCCACCTGGAGGAAGGTAGAAAGGAATCCCGAGGGCTGGGCTAGTCTGAGACAGCATTCATCTAGGACAGTCGGAGAAGAACCCAGAATGCAGCGGGAGCGGGACTGGAAGGGGGGAGGGTCAAGCTCCCACGAAGGCTCCCTGGAGGAGGCAGTGCACGCCGAGACCTTAAAGGCGATGAGATTCCGGTAAGCGGCGAGAAGGCAGGGGCCTTCCAGGCGGGAGGCCCGGCCTGGGGCAAAGCTGTGAAGGCAGAGCCGCGCACCGGGCCCGGGTGGTGGGTCAGCGTTGGTCTGAGGCTGGGAGGAAGGGCAGAGGTGGCGTCCGGGCCAGGACTTGCTCGGGGGCGCGCACACCCCTCCCCGGTGCCGTAACACAGGGGGGCTGGAGGCCTCGGCGGGGGCAGAGAAGGCGGCGGGCCAGGCCAAGTGGCCAGGGTCTGGCGCAGAAGGAAGTCTTTTTTTTAGGGGGGTGCGTCCGGGAACCCCCAGCTCAGTGCTAGTGCAGGGTCTCCGGCCCTAGGGCAGGGGTGAAGGTCACGCCCACGGAGTACCTCCTCCCAGCCTCCTTGCCCCCTCCCCCTCCCCGCCTGGGTTCATCTCCAGTCACAGTTTACTCTTCGGGCGCATCTGGGGGTGGGAGGTAAGGAGGGCGCTGAGGAAGGGCTTTTGGATTGGACGACAGCAACTGCCCCAGGCGGGGTTGGGGGCAAAGCCTGGAGGCGGCCTCGGCTCCGCCACCGTCGCCGGGTGGCCTCCCAGACGCTCCGCTCTGCTCCGGGCCTCAGTCTACCCATCCGCCAACGGGGGCAGCGTGGCGACGTGAGGATCTCTGCGGCCCGGCTCTGCCGGCTGGGAGCGTCGACGACTTGGAGAAACTGCGGGAGGGGGAGCGGGCGAGGTCGGCGGAGGCCCGAGGGCGACGGGCGGTCGCGGCGCCCGCGCGGGGTCAGAGTCCGCAGGGAGGCCCGGCGGCCGCCGCTCCGGCTCCCGGCGGGGGGCGCGGGGGAAGGCGGTGTCTCCGGGGCGGGGCTCCAGGCGGGTGGGGGTGGGGAGGCCTGGCGGGGGCGTGGCTCGGGCGGGGAGGCGGGGGCGGGGCCTCCGGGGCGGGGCTGCGGGCGGGGGCGGGGCGGAGGCCGGGCGTGCGTCAGCGCGGCGAGCCCCGGAGTTTTCCACCGACGCGGAGGGCGGAGCGGCGGGCGGGGCCGCGCGCAGCCAGTCTCCCGCCGCCGCCGCCGCCGCCGGACGCTCAGAGCGAGGGGCGGCTGGGCCGACGGCTGCCCGGCGGAGCGCGCGCGGGGTCGCGACACGGGGGCCGTCCCCGGCCGGGACGCGGGTCGCATCGGTGCCCTTGGCGAGCGTCCGGGTCGCAGGTGAGTACCGAGAAGCTGCGGGCCCGGCTGTCCGGGACCTTGGGGAGGGGGCGTCTTGCGCGGGGGGCTGCGCCCCTCCGGTCCCTGGCCGCTTGTCCCCCGCCTCCCTGAGCGGCCACCGGGGCGGGGGGCTGGTGGGACGGCCGGGCCCGGCCCCTGACTGCGTGCCTGGCCGGCGTCCGGGGAGAGGAGGCGGGGAGGCGAGAGTGGCAGGTTTTCCGCTCCCCTCCCCCGCGCCACCAAGGGTACCCCGAGAAGTCGCGGCGCCCCGAGCTCAGCGCGGGTGGCGGTCGAGCCCGGGTCGGCGCGGGTGGCTAGGTGACGGGGTGCGCGCGTCCACGGGAGAGTTTCCTTTTGACCCAGTTGCCTGAGAACTTTTCAGAAGTTCCTCGCGTGGCCGGAGCAGGTGACATTTGTCGCCTTCCTCCTCGGGCTCCCCCCGGGGGCGGGCGCCGGGGCTGCGGCGCGTGCCGTGCGCGGCGCCCCCGGCCAGCGGGGGTCAGGGAGGGAGGGGAGGGGAGAGCCGGGAGTGCGGCTCCGTGAGTCATGGACCCCGCGGGGAGGGAGGGCGGAGGCGGGAGGGGTTGTGTCGTGCGCTCACCTGTTTGTCAGTCACCGTCACACGCGGAGGCCACCGCCGTGAGTCACGGGCGCAGCCCCGCCGGACACCCGCGGGCACACGTAGGCGCTCTCCCACGCACTTCTCGGCTCCCCAGCACGCACTTCCTCCGGGTCCTCAGTTTCCCTCCCCGGGGGCCCTCCCGCAGGCACGCACCCTTGGGTGCCCTCGCCACAGCAGCCGGCGCACACTTAGTCACTCCTGCTCCCTGGCACAGCCACACGCGTGGCCCACACTCCCGACGCCGGAGGAGCCCGCCCCGGCTCCGCGGCCCACCCCACGCCTCCACTCCCGGGTCTCACAGCCCTGGGGACCGGGCCCCCGCCGCTCGCCCCCAGACCCCTGGCACCACAGCCCGAGGCCGCCTCCGCGCCCGCAGGTTTCCAAGCCCGCGCCCGTTTCTCCCGTGCCCGCCCCGTGCCGTCCTCTCTCACCTAGCCCGGGCACCGGCCCAGCTGTCACACCCCCTCCCGTCCCGGACGGAGCCATCTTTTTAAAATGCAAATCTGGCTTTGTCGACTCCCTACTTCACCCCTGCTGCGGCTTCCTGTGCCCTCGGGCCAAAGCCTGCCCCGCGGCCCCGGCTCCTGGGACCTGTGGCGGGTCGCCCCTCCCCCTCACCACTCCGGCCCTCCCGCACCCGCTGTGCGCCCCCCAGCTCCTCCTCGAGACTGTTTGCCCCCTCAGCTCCCCGCTCCTGCCCCGCACGCCTCCCACCTGCCCTCCCAGCGCTCACCACCGTGTTGTAACTACACGCGCCTTGCCACTAGACTCCAAAGCTGAAGAGTGCAGCTAGCGTAGGCCTTGCTGTCCCTGTACGCCCAAGTGCCCCGCACAGCCGTGGCCTCCTGTGGGAGCTCAGGTATGTGCTGAATGAATGAATGAATGAGTGAATGAGTGAGGGGAGGCCCTGCTCAGGTGGGGGAAGAAGTTGCTGTCAGGTGCAGTTTCCCTTCTGCAGGAGCAGCTGCCTTCTGTGGCCAGCAAACATTTGGCACCTACCCGGTGCCAGGCCCTGGAGGCCGAGGCTGAGGAACGGGTGCCCTCCCCCCGGGATCACTTTCAGACGGATGGGGGAGGGGTGTGCTAGGGCTTCCTGTCCACATTGTCTGTGCCGCCCAGGTAGCTGTTCTGGCCAGGCCCGGTGAGGGGGTGCGGGCCTCCAGGGTGCCTTCTGAGAGTCTGGGGCCGTGTGCCCCCAGGAGTTGGGGGGTTCTGGCCTGGCCAAGGCCTGGGGCTCTGAGAGTAAAGGACACATGCTTCAGATTCCCAGAGGAGGATGGGGCCAGCCCAAGGTGCCCTCTCCCCAGGACCAGCTGTGCACGGGGACTGCTGAGGGGCACAGACGAGTTGCTGTGACTTCCCAGAGGCCCTGAGCCACCCCCCTGACCCCCAGCGAGCCTTTGTTGGCCTGCTGCCCAGGCTGAGGTGGCCTTCCCTGGACTCACCCCGGGTGGCCTGAATGTGTAGGTAGTTGTGGGTAGTAGAGTGGGGAAATGTCACCCCCTTCGTCCGGGCTGTCAGCTCCTGTGGGTGGTGACGGGAGGGTGGCCTGACTCTCGGGGCCCAGGCAGATCCCGGAAGGAGCCTGGCTCTCTTTGAGTCCGGGCCTGTCCCGGGGGCTCCTCGGGGGTGTGGTCCGTCTGTGTGAGTCAGCTCCTGGGAATCGCTGCTCCCTCCTCCGGGACCCGAGGACGGGGGCTGTGTGCACCCTGGGAACAGTGCCATGGTTGGGATCCTGATTCCTGGGTAGCTGCTGAGGGCCCCTCCCCCTCCTCTGACTCACTGTCTGACACTTTTCTTGGACTCTTTCAGTATCTTTCATTCCTTTTTCTGACTTGGTCTGTCCTTGTCTCTGGCTGAGTCTTTTCGTCTCATCTCCTGCCTCTGCCTGTCTTCTGCCTCTGGATTCCCAGCGGGGACGGGGATGCACTGACAGCCGAGGGCTGTTCCCTGTCCCTCCTCCCCAGAGGAGCGTCAGGGAAGAGATCATCGGGGAAGAGATGGGGGCTTCGCGGGTCTGCAGATTCTGCAGGGGTGAGGGGCGGTTCACCACCGGACCGGGCAGCGTGGCGGGAGCTCACCTGTGTCCCTGTCTGTCTGCAGCCTCAGAGCGTCCAAACCCCTCACCCTGAGTTCCCATTCTGTAGGCAGGCCTGAGGCATAGCCCGGCTCTTGTGCTTCAGCCTGCTTCCTTGATATCTATTTGTTTGCTTCTGGGGAACAGGCGGCCTCCTGAGGTGCCTGTGTTGGCATCTGTCTGCAGCCCGCGGCGTCCTGAGGTGCCTGTGTTGGCATCTGTCTGCAGCCCGTGCTTCTTACTCCCTTCTGTGGCTCAGACCCTCTGGCACAGGCTGGGGAATGGGCATGCCATCGCCCCTCCCCCCCCCAGCAAACTGTGACAGGACCAGGAGGTCACATGGAGCAGTCACCCGGGTCCCAGAGGTCTGCCCCGCCAGTCTGTAGGTGCCTTCTCTATGCCAGGCTGGTCTAGGCTTGGGCACGGTAATGGCCAGGCGGGGAGGAGGGCGCCGCAGTGGGGCCTTACGGAGACCGTGACCGGAATACGGGAATCCCGGGGCCCGTGGGAGCCCAGCGAGGCGCGTAGTCAGGAGTGAGGAGTGGAGGTTTCAGGGAGGCCCTCTTGGAAATGACTATTAAAGGAGAGGGAGGCTGGGTTCCAGCCCGTGCAAAGGCCGGGAGGCGGGCAGGTCATGGCAATTAGAGGAACTGCAAGTTCAGCTGGAATAGAGTGAGGGGAGGGTGGAGAGGCAGCGGCGGGCCCACTTCAGCCCTCCGTGGAATTCTAGGCTGGATGCTAAGGGCCGGGTTCCCCCAGCACGGGGGTTGCAGGGAGCCCCGTGCCTTGGGAGGACCACTCTGGCTGAAGGGGGATGCCGGCAGCAGAGGCAAGCAGTGGGGACGAGGCACAACTTTTCAGGTTTATGCATAAAACGCATAAAGCATATGACTCCTGCATGCACAGTCAGGCGAATGTTTAGGTTCCGACATTCATGGGGCCACCAGCTAGGTCAACACAGAGCATTTCGAGAGGACCCGCCCTCTGCTGAAATTTCCCCTGTGACTGTCCCCAGTGCCCCCGCCCCCCAACCCCTATTCTGACTTGTAGCATCACTGATTGGGTTTGCCTTTCCTTGAACTTGGTTCCCATGTGTTCTCGTGTCTGGCTTCTTTCACTGCCCATGACATCACTGCGATTCACATGTGTGTATCGAGGAGCTCGTTTTTCTCACAGTGTAGAATGACATGTTCACTAAGCACTTACTGCTGTTCTAAGAACTTGACGTGCATTGATTCATGTAAACCTCCCAACCCTCTGAGGCTTTAAGGCAAAGGATTGGAGAGATGGAGAGCTTAAGGACCTTGGCTGAGGTCACGCCGCCCGGTGATAGCCAAGCCAGGGTTCCGATGCAGGTAGCCTGGTTCTGGAGCCAAGGCTCCCCCCCGCCTCCTGGGCCCCCCCCCCCCCCCCGCCGCCGACTGTGTCTGAGCCTCGCCTTGCGGCGGTCAGCGCCAGCGCGCTGGGGTGCACTCGCTGGCCCGGGTGCCTGGATGTGGCTGCAGGCGGAGGGAGGGAGGACTTGAGGATGGCTGCAGGTTTCTGGCTTGAGTAACTGGGTGGGTGGCAGTGCCGTTACTAAGATAGGGAACACAGGAAGAGGAACAGATGGCGGGGGGGGGTGGGGAACGGAGACAAGGGGTTCGCTTTGGGGCCTATGGAATTCTGTGCCTCTCAGGGACAGCCAGGCGGAGATAAAAGTGGGCATTTGGTTTTGGCGGGGGTGGGCCTTGGGCTGGGCATGTGATCGGGCACCGGGCACCGTGTAGGCAGCATCTGGAGTTTGGGGAAGGTCGGGGTCTCCCAGCGGGGCCAGCAGGGGCAGGCTGTGTGGGTGCTCCCTGCCTGTGTGTGTCCGGGGTGTTTACCTGGTCCTGAGTTCCCCCATCTCCTGGAGAGCCTGCAGGTCAGCCAGGAGCTGGGTTGTTTTTGTTTGTGGTTTTGTGTGGGGGGGTGCCAAGCCCGAGAAACTGGCCTCCGAGAAGCCCCCGGAAGCACCTGTGGTCCCCCCCCCCACGACGCAGTGTGGAAGGGTAGCAAGGAGGGGGGTCTCTGGCTTCTGATGCCTGCGGGGAGAGGCTGTCCCTGGGACGGATTTTATCCAGTAAGTCCGCCGACCGCGCACCCTCGAGGGCTGGGATCCAGACACTTTGTGGCAGGCTTGGCAAAGGGGACGGGGGCCTGTAGAAAGGCCACCTGAGTGGGGGAGATCGCCAGCCTTCTGGTTGGTTTTTCCTGTTCTCATTTCCTGTGATGGCAGTGGGGGAGGGGCTCCCCAGCTCCGGGGCCTCGGGGCCTCTGCTGTGTTGTTTCCCCTTCCTCCTGGTGACCTCCTGGGGCCCAGGCCTGAGCGCTGTGGGACACGGACAAGGTAGTTCAGTCCTTTGGGGATTCCCTTGGGTGGCTGAGGCATTCCGGGGAAGGAGCCCCAAGTCACTCCCCTTGCCTGAGGGCGCCAGGCGCTGAGAGCCCCAAAAGGGGAGGTCACAGTAAGCCGGGTGTCCTGAGGTGGCCCAGGTCCCCAGGCTGCACACAGCGGGGAGTGGAGCAGCGTCTTGACCGGGTCGGTTTCACCAAGAGTTGTGCTGTAGTCTTTTTTTTTGAGGGGATCAAAGATAATTTCCATAGGAAGTTGATTCAAACAAACAGGCTTCGATACTGGAGTCGAGGCACCCTGTAGATGGATTTTCAGACTCCGACGGGAGTTGTTCGGGGAACCAGAAGCCCAGCCAGGCCTGGAGGCAGGGGACTTCTGTGGGGCGGGGGTTTCTGAGGGAAAGTCTGAGCGGCTCTGTCACGGGGGAGGAGGGGCTTGGAAAGTCCTGGGCCAGTGTCAAAGCCAGCCTGTTTCCCGGAGTGCCCTGGTCATCCCGGCCCCAGGGAGAGGGGTACGTGTGCGCGCGGGGTGTGTGCAGGGCGGCGTGGGGGGCGTGCAGGGGGAGCCGGAGGAGGAGGAGGAGGAGGAGGAGGAAGAGCCAGCGCAGGGCCGGGAGGGCTGTGGCAGGCGGGCTCACACACACAAAGGCACACAGATGCGAGCCGTGTGAATCAGCCCGCCAGTGAGTCAGCCCCCAGGATTCCTGTCGGGGGCGAGCGAGGCTGGGCTCAGGTCTGCGGGCCCGTCTGTGGGTCCGGTGCCCGCATGCGTGTAGGTGGGTTGTGGGAGGCGGTGGGGAAGGTGCCGCCGGTGTCCCGAGGGCGTTTGGGCGGCGGGGCTGGGCGTCCGCAGGCGCCAGCAGGAGCGTCTGGCCGCGCCTGTGGAAGGGAGCCTCCTGCAGCCCCGGCCCCCGGGCCCCCTGCACCCAGGCTCGAGGGCGCGGCCTGGGACCCCTCGGAGGGGAAGGGGAGAGCGGAGCGGGGCCGGAGCGCCGCCGCCGGCCTCCCTCGGGCCCGGGGCTGAGAGCTTTCCCCCGTCCGTTCCAGGCCGTCTGTGCCCAAACCCCCGAGTGCCCCCGGCACCACCATGACCGGGCCGCTGAAGAGGAAGTTTGACCAGCTGGATGAGGACTCCTCCTCGCTCTGCTCCTCCTCCTCCTCCCTGTCGTCCTCGGGCCGCCATTCTCGCCCCTGCTCCCCGAGCTCTTCCGTCTCCCTGGCCTGGGACTCAGATGAGGAGGGCCCCTGGGATCAGATACCCCCGCCTGGCCGTGACTTCTGTGGCCCCCGGAGTTTCACCCGTGAGTGCCTCCCCTCTCCCCTGGGAACCGCCACACCCCTCCTTCCTTCCTGAAGATGAAGTTGGGAGGCCCTGACAAAGCCGTTCCGCCCCTGGAGGTCGTGGCCCCGTGGCTCCGGCTCCCCACCTTGTTCACTTCCTGTAACACAGTGTTATGAGGAATGCCCTCTGTCCAGAGGCACTTGGGCCCGGGTAGAGTCACCCTTGACCTCGGGGCTCCCTGCTTAGGAGTCGGGCGGGACGGGGCTCCTCAGAGCGGCCCCGGGGCCTCCCTCCTGTTCCAGTTTCGTTTCCCCGGCCGCACACCCTGTCCCACCTACTGCACCTCCGCGGCCTCACGCCCCGCACCCCTGCGCCGCGGGGCCTGTCGGGCCGGTCCCTCTCCTGTCCTGTCAAAACGCTCTCTGGCGTTGCCTGAACGCAGTGGAAAGGTTTTGTTCCCGCAGTTACTCTTCAAGTGGCTTCATTTTGATTTCAAACTACCAGGACAGCCCCAAAGCGGGGGTCCACCCCTTGTTCCCGTCACTCCTGCCCCCGGCCCCGGGGGGCTTTTAGACATATTTTCCTTTTTATTTTTTCAAATTGTTTTCAAATATTTGTATTTTTAGAGAGAGAGCAGGGGAAAGGGACAGAGGGGGGCAGAGAGAGAGAACCTCAAGCAGGCTCCATGCTCAGCGTGGAGCCTGACGCGGAACCCCGTCTCACGACTGTGAGATCATGACCTGAGCTGAAATCAAGAGTCAGACACTCAACCAGCTGAGCCCCCCAGGGACCCCTAGACATTTTTTTCCTAATTATCCCTGCCATGACATTTTAATACCCCAGATATGCTCGGTGTCTTTGTTTAGGTACTATATGTACATCTTTATGTTATGCCAGAAAAAGAGTATGATTTGCAGCACATGGACTCAAACAGTATGTTGACGGTTTCATAGTATAAAATCCAGTCTTGGAGTTTACTATAATGACTCTGTCAGGGGAGGAAAAACATGAGAGCCATTGTAGATGTTGGAGAACATTTGGAAAATGTTACGTCCCTTCTGGATAAGACCCTTGATAAGTGGGAATAAGTGGATGCTACCTTAAATGATTAAAAAATATGTGTCTCAACCCAAAAGCTGGCATTCTGATTAATGAGGAAATATTGGAAGCAGTCAGTCCAACTAAAGAAAAAGGTGAGGAGGCTGTCACCACTATTAGTTAACATCATTCAGTAAGTACTACCCAGGTAGTAGAGAGAATAAAGAATTCTATATATTGGATTGAGACAGACAAAATAATGTATTAAGTTGAAATACATGAAAATGCCAATATTCAACTGTTTTATGGTAATTGCCTATGGTTCAATGTAATAAAAAGGAACAGTATACCGATATGTGTACAGAAGATACCAAATACATAGCTTATGGATACGTATACAATCCATAATTTAGAAAGGTAATCCCAAATAATAGCCTGTCTAAGCATATCCTAAAATGCAGAAACTATAAAGGAAAAGATCAATATATTTTTAATTACATAGCCTCAGAAGTTATTTTGTAAAATGCCTTGAACAAAGATAAAAGACTAAAGGGGCGCCCAGGTGGCTCAGTCGGTCAAGACTCTGACCTCAGCTCAGGTCTTGATCTCACCGCCAGTGGGTTCGAGCCCCACATCAGGCTCTGTGCTGACAGCTCAGAGCCTGGAGCCTCTTCAGATTCTGTGTCTCCTTCTCCCTCTCTGCCCCTCCCCCCTCACGCTCTGTCTCTCTCCATCTCTCAAAAATGAGTAATCATTAAAATTTTTTTTAAATAAATAAAAAATAAAAGTAAAATATTTGCACAGATAGGTTAGATGATTAATATATCTAACGTCATATATAAAGAGCTCCTGCAAATCAATGATAAAAAACTATAGACTCTGACAAACGCTCTCACTTGGACTGGTGAGTAGCAGCAAGCCCGGGTTGGCCTAGGCGTGGCATTCGCATTTACCCGCTCTAACCCCAGCCAGGCGGGCTCCATTTCTTCATATCCGTTCAGACCCATTTCTTAGCGGTAGGAGATGAGAGGCGGGGTGTGAGCAGAGGCCATGCCGCGCCCCCCGGAGAGCTGACGCCCTGCCCCGCCCTCCCTGCCTTCCAGCCGCCTCCATCCTCAGGAGGGCTCCCCGGAAGCGCCCCGGCCGCGTCGCCTTCGACGGCATCACCGTCTTCTACTTCCCTCGCTGCCAGGGCTTCACCAGCGTGCCCAGCCGCGGCGGCTGCACCCTGGGCATGGGCCCTCGCCACAGCGCCTGCCGCCGCTTCTCCCTGGCCGAGTTTGCACAGGAGCAGGCGCGGGCGCGGCGCGAGAAGCTGCGCCTGCGCTTGAAGGAGGAGAAGCTGGAGGCCCTGCGGTGGAAGGTGGGAGACCGCTCCGCTCGGCGCCGGGCACCTGCGCCGCCTCTCGGGGCGGGGCCTCTCGGGGCGGGGCCTCTCGGGGCGGGGCCTCTCGGGGCGGGGCCTCTCGGGGCGGGGCCTCTCGGGGCGGGGCCTCTCGGGGCGGGGCCTCTCGGGGCGGGGCCTCTCGGGGCGGGGCCTCTCGGGGCGGGGCCTCTCGGGGCGGGGCCTCTCGGGGCGGGGCCTCTCGGGGCGGGGCCTCTCGGGGCGAGGCCTCGGGAACAGGAAATCTCGGCACAGGTCCCGAAGGCGGTGCTCGCTGTGGCGTCCGTGGTGCCCAACCCGGAGGCAGCACGTGGGGCGCGTTTGTCGCGAGACTGGTGGCTGTGGGGGCGAGGGCCCCTGCCTGGCTCTCACGGCCCTCCTCTCTCCGTGGGTACAGCTCACAGAGGCCGGGGTGCCCGAGACGGAGGCCAGCCTGCCGCTCACAGTGGACGCCATTGACGATGCCTCCGTGGAGGAGGACCTGGCCGCGGCCGTGGCGGGCGGCCGGCTGGAGGAGGTGACCTTCCTGCAGCCGTACCCGGCCCGGCGCCGGCGGGCTCTGCTGCGGGCCGCAGGCGTGCGGAGGATCGACCGCGAGGAGAAGCGGGAGCTGCAGGCGGTGCGCCAGTCCCGCGAGGACTGCGGCTGTCGCTGTGATCGCGTGTGTGACCCCGAGACCTGCAGCTGCAGTCTGGCGGGCATCAAGTGCCAGGTGTGGGCCGGGAGCGGGGCCTGAGCGCGGGCTGCTCTGGGGGCCGCGGGGCCCGGTCTCACGCTCTGCTCTCTCCGCAGATGGACCACACCGCCTTCCCCTGCGGCTGCTGCCGGGAGGGCTGTGAGAACCCCAAGGGCCGCGTGGAGTTTAACCAGGCGCGGGTGCAGACGCATTTCATCCACACGCTCACCCGCCTGCAGCTGGAGCAGGGCGCCGAGGGCCTGGGGGCGCTGCAGGCTCCCGCCCAGGGCGGCCCAGCCAGCCCCGGCGAGCAGGTGCCGGGCGCCGCCTTCCCGCTGGCCCAGCCGCCCCCCAGCAGCGAGCTGGGGGGCAACAGCTGTAGCAGTGACATGACCGACTCCTCCGCGGCTTCAGGCTCCAGCGAGGCCCCCGGCGGCCCCGCCCACCCAGCCCTGCCCGGCCCTGGCTTCCAGCCCGACGCGCATGATGACAGCCTGGCCCGGGTCCTGAGTCTCAGCGACTCGGACCTGGGAGGAGAGGAGGACGAGGACGGGGGCGTGGGGGCCCTCGACAACCTCAGCTGCTTCCACCCCGCTGACATCTTTGGCACTGGTGACCCGGGTGGCCCGGCCAGCTGGACCCACGGCTATGCGAGCTGCAGCCTCGCGCCGGGCATCCTGGATGAGAATGCCAACCTGGATGCCAGCTTCTTCCTCAACGGCGGCCTTGAGGGGCTGGGGGAAGGCAGCCTCCCTGGCACCTCGGGGCTGCCCAGCTCGGACGCGGGCCACAGCAGCTCCGTGGACCTCAGCTTGTCCTCCTGCGACTCCTTTGAGCTGCTCCAGGCCCTGCCAGACTACAGTCTGGGGCCTCATTACAGCTCCCGGAAGGTGTCCGACAGCCTGGATAACCTCGAGGCACCCTGCTTCCCCTTGCCCGCCTTTTCCCCCCCGGGGGACGCCGGCGCTTGCTTCCTGGAGTCCCTCATGGGCCTGCCTGACTCGGCCGCCGAGGCCCTGGCCCCCTTCGTCGACAGCCAGTTGCTTGAGGACACTGCCCCGGCATCGCTGTTGGAGGCGGTGCCCGTGTAAGGACCGGGCCACCTCCCCCTGGCCCCGAGAGCCCTGCTGCTGCTCTGTTGTGATTTGGGGGCTCCCTGAGGTCTGTAGGTAAGGGCCTCCCGTTGGCTGGCTCGCCCAGGTGGGCGCCCCTGAGTTTGCGCAACACTCTGGATTGATTTATTTATTTTTGTAAGTTTCTGTGCTGGAGCGGGGGGAGGCTCTCTCCCTTTTCCCCCACCCGGCCACCTCCTCCCCCCCCCTCCAAGCCCGCACAGCCTCGACTTCCACTTCCACGGTTCTCTGTGCCGGGAATAGGACACAGGACTCCCCTGGGGCTTTGCGGACCCCCTTCCCGTCTGGCGTGATGTTCCTTAGCCCACAGTCAGCAGGACAGGGCTGAAGTCAGCCCCTTCTTCCGGCTTCTCCTGCCGTCCTGAGCCGCAGACCCGTGGGGGGCTGCATTCTCTGGACTGTGAAGACTATAATTTATTTCCATAATTTATTTGGAGACTAGGAGGTGTAGGCTTCTCCCGTCTGAATGGCGGGCAGTGCTGGGGTGGGGGTGGGGCACGGACCCCTGTGAGTTCCTTTTGCCTTGTCGCGGATCCCTGCCCTACATGGGCGGTGGTATGAGCCAGGTGTGGCTTTGGGCACCACGGTCTGGTGTGGCAGCTGCCTGGCTCCGGGTGGCTGAGGACAGTGTCCAGGTAGGGGGCTGGGTGGGGCTGACCAACCGTGACCAAACCCTGCCCCACGCAGCGCCCTCTGTTTCCTGTCCTCTGCTTCATCTGCCTCCTCCCTAAAGGCCACAGCCTTTATTCTGGGCCCGTCGATGTAGAAGGGAAGCGGGAAGCCCAGAGAGGGCGAGGGGCTCGCTTCGGGGCCCATGGCCCACCCCTGACCGCTATGTCGGGGCCCCCAGGCGCTGCACGCCAGCCGGGCCACTGCCTGTGCCCTGGGGCCCTCTGGCTGGGGTGAGGGGTGGCCCCTCGTGGCTTTTGTGCCCTTTATTCGCTGATGTTGAGTTTTGCATCCTAATTTCTGTATCGTCCCTGAGTGTTACAACTTTATAATTTATTCATTCTCTCTCTGTCTGTGCCAAGAGCCCAGGCTGTGGGCCTTCTTGCCTCGGAGGCCTCGGCGGCCCACGTGCTCGTGGGAACACCTTGTACCTGAGCGAACAGGTACCAATAAAGAGGCTCTATTTTTAACAGTGGTGGTTTGCGTTTGTGGGACCTGGAGATACGCGGCTCTGCCCTCAGAGGTCGTGGGGAGGGAGGGGGAGGCCCGCCCCGAGGGCAGTGTGGACTCCGAGGCTCCGCCTGGGTAGGAGGGGAGTTCACCAACGGGGGAGCTGGGAAGCCAGCTGGGAGGTGGCCGGGCAGGGGGAGCAGTCTGGCCCTAACACGAACCCGCGTCTCCGCAGCAGGGCCGTCTCCGAGACAGGGCTCTCTGCCCCGGGCTTCGCCCACTTGGTCCCACGGAGCTGGAGCCTGGCGCGAGGGTGAAGCGCCCCCCGCTGTTTAAGGGCAGACGACAGTGGGATGTCGCTGGTAGAGGCCTCGTGTGGGGCCCTGGGGATCGCCGCGCAGGGCCCAACGTCCACCTCCCCCGTAGGGGTAATGGTTTCCTCAAGGGCCGAAGGGAGGGGGACAGACGAGGGGACCAGCTCTGACTCTGCCGTCGGGGCTGTGCCGGGCTCCCCTCACTTCGTCTGGGCGGCGTGCTGGGAAGAGCGCAGCCCCAGAGCACCAGGTTCACGTCGCAGCTCTTCTGCTACCTAGCAAGGTGACGTGTGCAAATCCCTTCCACCACCACTGTGCCGGGGTCCCCAGTGCTGTGCAAATACCGCCACCACTCGCCTCAGAAGCTTTTTCAGTTCACGTTGTTCACGTACACACAGCACGTAGGAGAGCGCCGGGAGCAAGCGGGGCGCGTGTGCATGTTTGGGGCCCCTTTCTGTTTTCGTATTTCTGCCTCCATGTCTGTTTATCCTCTCTCTCTCTCTCTCTCTGGTCAGTTCTGTCACTCTTTGGGTATCTGTCTCTTGCTTCAGGACATGCATGGGTGTGACCATGTGGCCAAATCGTCAGTGTGGCCTGTGGGGCGCAGCCATCCCGTAACCAGCTTAGCCAGGGACAGCCAGGACATTCAGGACCCTGCCTCCCCTCGCCCGGTCCCTGGGAGCCCTTTGTAGAGATTGTGTCAGCATGCGTGATTCAGAACCGGGGTCTCTCCCCGGGCTCTGAGGCCCAGCCCTGAGTGGCGGGGTCCAGGCGGCCCCCCGCAGCCCCCGTTCCCTGGCTGGCAGCCCCCACAGACTCCTACCCCATGGATACGGCCCAGGGCTGGACTGGACCCGCCCACTCCCCTCCAGGGCAACAGGATCACTTCCTGGCTTTAAAAAAATTTTTTTTAAATGTCATTTTATTTTGAGACAGAGACAGAGTGTGAGCAGGGGGAGGGGCAGAGAGAGCGAGACACAGAATCTGAAACAGGCTCCAGGCTCTGAGCTGTCAGCACAGAGCCCGACGCGGGGCTTGAACCCACGAACCGTGAGATCATGACCTGAACCAAAGTCCAACGCTTAGCCAGCTGAGCCACTGGCTTTTTTTAGATGACCCCCCCCAACCTTTTTTTAGATGAATGAAGACAACTTGAGTTTTACAGCAATAAAAATGTGATTAAGGTACAATCTATTACAGCATCCTTCTCTGTACAGACGAACCTGTCTGTCAACAACCCACCCAAGAAACCGGGTTGTAACGCAGTTGCTCGTAAAAGAGACAGGTTTCCCATAGGAAGGATGGGAAGTGACCTGGGGAAAGCGTTCCGGGTCACTGACTCAGGCCACAAGGCCGTGCACACCACCAGCTCTGCTGCCCCCAAGGACAACCGTGTGTCCTGCGAGGGTCACCTCCCAAACTGCGGTCCCTGGACAGCTTCCCGTGAAAGCTTTGCCATGGCTGCGTCCTACTCACACTAAGCACGTAGTTCAGTTTGCATCAGTGACATCAATATGCTTAAAAGTTAGAGCCATTCTGGGCAAGGCACTCACAAGTTCGCGAGTTCATCGTGCTAATTGTGCTCTAACAGAGAAGACTGACGTTCTAACACATAGTTATTACACGCTGTTTGCAGTCTACCATTGGCGGGGGCTGTAACATGGTTGGGGAACGCAGATCTAATCCCCTGCCACAGAGGAGCACGGACACCCAGAGACACCCTCCAGTCAGGGGTGCTTCCTCGGGGGCCACACTGGCCCGTTCTTACCATTATGAGAAACAAGAAGAGAGGAGTCTCGAGCTCCAGCAAAGGTGACCGCTGTCACCTTCCTGCCAGGTACAAGTAGTACAAGTTGCCTAACCAGGGGCCACTGCTCTTGTCCCCAGAGGTGGTAAGAGGGTTTCTGGAGGGCACATTCGTTGGTCAGTGTCTTTTACCAAATCTTAAGTGGGAGCTGCTTTTTTCTTGGGTATTCCCCTGTCCCAGGCGTGGGGGATCCAGTTTGTCCCAAGCCGGTGAGGACCAGCAGAGGTCGGCTGGAGACTCGGGGAGGAGACAGCGTATGGCCGAGGGCGCCAATGAGCCTCACAGCCTGCAGGGTGAGGGCCTCCGCTCTGGGACCTTCTGAGCCGCCCTCCTGTCTGTGCGCGGCCGGGAGGGCATGCGGGCAGCGCAGAAGGAATGAGCAGTCCCTCCTTGGGCTCAGGGACTCTGGGGACCAGACTAGAGGGGAGGCCCTGCGACATTAAAGTTGCTGCGGGGATTTTAAAAATATCACCTCTTTGTTCCCTCACAGAGTCTGGAATAAAAATGGGGCCCCACAGAAGGCGCCCGTGGGCCCAGCATAAGCTAGGCTGCTCCATACCCTCTTCCCTCTGAGCAAAATTGCTTCTTGTGCCTGAAACACAAAGCTTTGGGACGCCGTCCCACCAGATGAGCCGGGATCCGCAGAAGCCACACATGACACAGACGCGGGGAAGAATCCTCATTTTCCAAACCTCTTCTGCCTGGACCCGCTTCCCAAGCCCTGGGGAGCGTGTGGGGGCCCCGGCCCGGCTGCCACTGACCAGAGCTAGGGCCTCAGAGACCCTTGGGCCTTTTCCAAAATCTCTTCTCTGATTTGGGGGTAGTTCGGATGCTCTCTGAGGACCTGGGAACAGGGAGAAAGGGTGTGCGGAGCCAGGCAGGGGTGTGGCACCGGGCCAGGCACCCGCGCCCGCACCCCGCCCAGCGAGGCCTCAGCCCTTCTAACGCTCACGTTGTGACAGACTTCGATGGCCTCCACAAATCTCTTATCCTTCAGGTAGTTGAAAGCGAGCTTGAAGCCTGCGCAGGGGCAGAGGACACGCACTGGCACCCTGAGCCTCCGGCCCTGCCGCCCGGCCCCCCTCACCCAGCGTGCCCGGCTGGCGGGGCCTCACCGATGGCGGGGTTGGCCTGATGGCTGTACTTCCAGGCCAGCTCGTAATTGGCGGCCGCGTCTTTGTAGGACTGCTCCTTCTCCATGATGAAGCCCATGTACTCGTAGGCCCTGGCGCAGGACTGCACGGAGGACCCGATCCCAGCACGGGGCGGAGCCAGCGGCCGGTGGGGGGGGGGGGAGGCGGTGAGCGCGCCACGCCGACCTCACTGCCTCCCGCGGCGCCGCCCGCCTTTGCTGCGCGGGTCACGGCGCGCCCCCTCCAGGACGCCCCTGCGCTTGCCCGGCCCCTGTCCCCACAGCCCTCCGGCTCCGACCTGCGCGCCCTCGGACCTCACGGAACCTTCCCATCCGAACCCCGCTCTCCCGGCTCCCGACTCTGTGCGCCTCCTCTTGCCCGGCCCCTCGCGGCCCCTGTGCGCCCCTCCCGCGCGCCCCGACCCGGCGCCCCCCGCCCTGCCTTGTTGCACTGCACGCAGCGCCGCAGCAGCTCTGAGGCCAGGTCGAACTTGCTGCCCCGGCAGTAAATGTCGGCCAGCAGGAGCCAGCCCTTCTCCAGGTCCTCGGCCTCGTCCGGCGTCCAGGGCGCCTTGGCCAGACGCTTCAGCTGCGTGCGCGCCTTGGGGACCTGCTGCAGCAGCGCGTAGGCCTGCGCCATGGCCAGCAGGGCGGGGACGCTGTCCTTCTGCACCCGGGGGCGCGCGGCGGGCAGGGGGAGGCAGAGGCCGGCGTGGGCGCCTGGCCCCCAGCTCCCCTGCCCCCCCCCCGCCTCCCCCCCGCGCGCCGGCCCACCTCGGCCTGTGCCATCTCGACGAAGGTGCCCAGCGCCGCCTCCACGTTGGCCTTCTCCCGCGTGGCCAGCAGGCACAGGCTCCGCAGCAGCCGCAGCTGGGCCTGGGCCCGGGCCGAGGGCGCGCAGAAGTCCCGCAGCAGCTGCTCGGCGGTGCGCACCGCGTGCTGCTCCGGGGCCTTCCTGTCGGCCGAGCGGGCGTCGGACGCCGGCCCCCCAGGCCCCCCAGGCCCCCCAGGCCGCCCCAGGCCGCCGGCCGGGCCCTCACTCGGTCTCCCCCCACTACGCGGCTCTCCCGCCCTTCCCAGGGTCCTGCCTCCCCCGCTCCCCGCCTCGAGGCCAGCCGCGCCCCTACTTGCTCTCAGCCACCAGGGTCTTGAAAACCTCTCCGCCCACGACCTCGTTGTCTGGGTTCAGACAGATCTGCACCATGTAGTAGGTGGCTCTCTGGCCCCAAGTGCTGTCCTTGCGGGCCTTGTTCAGGAACCTCAGTGCTTCGTTGGGTTGCCCTATGTGCCTGCAGCGGAAAAGAGACACAGCAGGAACCAGAGAGGGAAACTGAGGCCCAGCAGGGGCAGGGACCCACAGGAGCCGCTCCGCAGAGCAGGGCCGGATCCCTGCTCTCCCGGCCTGGAAGTCCAGCAGAGCCCAGCTCGCCCCCTAGGAAGAGCCCCCTGCCCTTCACCGCGGGGCACCCCCTCGCCCCAGCTCACCAGCAGTACATGCCTCTGCAGTAGTTGAAACCAGGCTCCAAAGGAACATGGCTGGGCATCCTCTTGACCAATTCAAAGAAGGCAGGGGCATCGTCCAGTCTGCCACTCCTCCGTAGCAGATCGATGAGTTTATTCCATACCAAAAAATTATCTAAAATAAGAGAGAAGAAATCTCCAGACTCTGACGACCAATAGCTAAGTCTGGCTCAGTGCCGTGGCCCCGGCGTGAAGTGAGGGGACCGGGAGACCCTTTCTGGGCTGAGCAGGGCCATCCCAGCAGCTTGGACGTCTCCACCTGTCTCCAAAGTTGAGCAAATAATAATAATCATACTGAAAAGCAGTGCTGAGAGTGGCTCACACCGGCACAGCACCTGGCATTAGGTGCTTTACCTGTGCACACCTGTGCACACCTGTACACACCGAGGCACCTCGTTTTCCCATTTCACTGAGACAAAGTTTTCGGTCACAAGTCGCACAGCTGGTAGGCGGAAGACCATGAGTTAGACGCAGGCAGTCCGGCTCCAGGACCCAGGCTCCCGACAGCCTGTGGGGGCTCTAGGCGGACTTTAGCGGCTGTCGTCTGAGCCTCAGGTGTGGCCCTGTCCCCAGCAGGAGGGATGGTTTTATACAGCGAGTGGGAATGTAGCTACCTAACGGAGAATTCTAGCCCTTCCAGGGGGCTGTGACCTCAGAAGAGGGCGACGTCCAGTGCAGTGGCTGGGATGTGGGGACAGACAGGCTGTGCTGGGTCCAGCACCAAGCAGTGCCCTGCCCAAGACCGGGGACGGGCCCCGGGGGGGCCCTGGAAGTGCCCATCGGTGCTTTATCAGTTTCCTGTCTCTCTGGGAACAATCACAGAGGAAGGGGCTTCCTCTGCCCAGTCAGGAAGGAGGGGAGGGGCCCAGCCCTGGGGGGAGGGCGGCCCTTGCTGGGCGGGAAGTGCTGCAGGCCATCCCAGCGGGCAGTCCTGCCGCAGGTGGCTAGGTACCTGGCGCTTTCTCCAGGACTTGGTGGTAGAGAGTGATGGCGGCTTCGTGTTTCTGTTTTCGAAACATCAGGTCGGCCATCATCTGTCAGAAAACACGCAATGCTCCGGAGCTCCGGACAGTTGGCCTGGGTGTGGGGGTGGCCTGGG